AGATTCTGTCTTTCTTTCTCTTCCAAATTGACCTCTGTGATTATGATTGATAATTAAACATTTACATACAGGAGGTTGAAAAAAGTAGTGTTTGTTTAGAGAAAGATAACATTCTCAATCCATAAAGCTTGGCAGAGCGGCCCAGCAATATGACCTCCTGCTGAGCTGCATAATAAAAAGTCCCCTGCATATTAATATCTGCTCTGTGCATAATGTCTACACCTTGACAGACTTGGAAATACTCTGACACCTCACTTGTGATGCTTAACCTTTGGTATGCTTCACTGTGGTTATTTACGTCCACATTCCCTCATGGGGGGGGGGGGATCTCCCCTCACCCTGGTCTCACCCAGGTCAACCCCTTTGGCTCTGGCTGCCAGCCTTTTTCCCACACTCCACCAGTCTTGCAAAATGACGCTCCTCCTTGGCAAAGCAGTGGAGGTGTGTGATGCCAAACGAGTTCCTCGTTACCTCCCTCCCACTCGGTTGGTAGAGGCGTTTGGAAGAACTACAGCGACATCTGCATGTGCCATGGTAACAAAGCGCCAGGCTTATACCCACCCACACTGGGCTTCTCCTGCCAGCCTGCTCCCCGTCTGTGCTGCCCCTCCTCCTCACCTGCGGCAATCATTTCTCAAATTACTAAACATAGCTAATTGTGGGAGGCGTGAAGCTCACTTCATTTGAATATTCTGGCTGGAGGGGGGGGGGGGATTTGCCTTGCATAGGGGAAGAATTAAGCAAGGATTTCTGGAAAAAGGGAATATCTGCAATTAGACTTAAATGTCTCTGTGGGGAAATACATTTTTACCAGGGTATTGTTGTTTTCTGTGCAGTTAAAGTTGAACCTCACCCAGGCATTTTCTTTTGAAATAACATTCATTTTGGCTCCTTATTTTGAATAAACATTTGTCTTTGTAATACTTTTAGCAGACTCCTAAAGAAGCAGGATTTTGGATCTCCTTTTATACTATAAAACTGGATTTATCTTGACATAAGATTAATTTAAGAGGAGATTGTTGTGCAACTCTCAAAGTTCTATAGTCCCTCAGTGTGTTTTTCATCAATAACTATATCTGCCTGTATGTTATGTGTTGTGATTACTTGCCAATAGTTAATCCAAATATCATGGGCCTTGTTATGATTTACAATCGTCGGGTCTGGTTGAGGGATTTGTTTTTTGGGGTGTTAATGTGAGGAACAATTCGATTTTTGTGTATGGAGATGTTGTGAAAGACAAAAAAAGAGAGGAGGATATTCCTATCAAGGCAGTATGATTTAAGTCACTTTATCCAGCCTGTCTCGCACTTGTTTCGAGTCGTCATCTTCAATCTTCTTGCCTTAATTTATGAAACATTTAAACCCCAAAAACTTGAAGAGATCAGATGATGTACTTCTCATTTAACTAAGGTTTTTTCTATTCGCAATCTAGCGGATCAATGCAAATTGTTCCAAAAATCTGACATTGAAAGTCTAATTTCAGTTTCCTTATCAAATCCACAAACATCCATTAGTTCTATATGAACAGACATTCCCTGTATGTGAGAAGGTTCCTTGCACAGATTGAAAGGTGCTCAATTAGTCCGTGTCGGAAAGGTTGAGCACCCTGACTTTTTAATTAATGTTGAATTAAACGAATTGGCAGGTTGCCAGAAACCAGGCACACAGCTTGAAGATTGTCATCGCATAATGAGCCGCTTTTTTATATTTCATGCTTTTCTGTTTCCAGCCCCTCGCTCTCCGCTGCCATTTGCCTGTATGCTTTAGCGATTTAATGATATGCAAATGAAATATGCATAAAACCATTCTGCTGCAGGATGATTAGGCACAGAGGACATTAGCCAGTGCCCGCCACAGTGTCTGTTGTCTCCTCTGCATTCCGCTTCGACCAAGCGCCAACACCACCAATCTAAGAAAGATTGATTCTGCTAATGCACTTATCATAAGAATACCGCAAATAAAATCCAATTTTGAGAGAAATTAGATTCCAGAAAGGTATCTTCTCGCTCCAGTTTTGTAAGATCCAACACCAGGAGAGGCAGATGTCTTCATACGTGATAGTTGGTGCTCTAGAGAGCAGGCAGAGACCAAAGAGAGCAAGCTTTCCAAGAGGGTGCATTGAACATCACTGGCAATGCAGGAGCTTTTCTCTGCTTGTTTGTGAGTACTGTGGCATTATTTGACTACTGGCATATAACGAAGGAAGAAAAATACCCCTGTTCTTGCTTTCCCTCTCTCCCTCTCTCTTTCACACACACACACGCACACTCCACCCCCATTTCATCCTGCTCTCTCGTGCAAGCCCTCTTTTTTTTTTTTTGTAATCCATTTGTGTAATGAAGACGCAACACAATTAACATTCTCCATGGAATTATATAGAAGGGTGATTATCCAAAGTTCATTAGCGCCGGAAGATTATAATATCCGCATTTCCCCTCGATAGTTATGGGGAAAAAAGTACAACAGCAATTACAAATTAAGTTGTTAATCAGATTTGTTGTGATCACCCGACATGACATTTGAGATGCCCCAAAAGATGCCATCTTTCATGCGGTCTCTCCTCAGCGGTAGTACAACCAGATCCAGGCATCTTGGTAGTGCCAAGGTTGGGTTTCCAGCACAAAATTTTATAATCCCTCCCTTTGGATGACTTCCTCAATTATTCATATTGCCAAACCATGCTTCTTGTCCAAAGAAATCCAGGAGGAAAAAAATATTGCAACAATAATGTTTGGATTTGATGAAAATCCTTGCGTCGTTAATTACTGTTTTAATTCCGTCTATGCATATTAACGATGACAACGAACTAATTGAAAGCCTCCATTGTGCTTCTTTTTAGCGATGCCCATCCTTGGCTCCGTGCCCGATGCCAGCGCACCTCGCGGGAACCAAAGACACCTCCGGACCCAGAGTGTACCCTGGACAGCAACTCAAGCCAGTTGGTAAGTCTGTGTTGCATCTGTTTATGATAGTGTAGCGCAGGAGGGAATATCCTGAAAGGGTGGAGTTTGTTCATTTCTTTTGGCGGCAAGAAAGGGGCAAAAAAAAAAAGTCGCCGAGATGTGGGATGTGGGTGTGGAGGATGTAATGAGTTCCCACGGCCTCACTACCCCCAGTTTGGTTGCAGGCAGGCCAGCACCTCCCCCTCAGTGTTTCTTCAAGTCAAGTTTCCTCCTTCTCCATGTGCCTTCTGTACCCATTCGTCTGAGTTGTGTCCATGCCACTCTCTCACTTGGCTGTCATGCAGCCGGACTCTATATTGAACCTACAGGAATTCATATCCTGTAGGGTGAAATAAGATAAACCCAAGAAATTGCTGTGTTCATCACTGCTATTGCATTGCTTGTTGCGGTTGTAAACATCCATGCTCCTTTTCAAATTAAAGTTGTTCTGTTGCGAAAGTTGCTACTGTTACATTCAAAATACTCTAAAGGGAAACCAGGATGTGTAAACAGTTTTAAGCAGAAGTTCAAATATAGGATGGAAATAAACCAAATCTTGTCTGTCCACTGATTATAATTTGCAGGTCATTAGTATGCATCCTCATGTTTGCATTTGTTGTCTCTCTCTTGTGTCTCTGACTTTGTAAACAGCTGCTATTGAGCTTCAGGCACAGTCCCAGAGGCCCCCCCCCGCCCTTGCATGCAGGCAGGCATGCCTGTGATTGGCAGATTGGCAGTGTCTGTTGCAGCAGTGCCTATGGTAGATGTGGCTGCCAGCCAGTGCAATAAGAAATGGCAGTTTACACTTGGGAAAATGTGAGGTAGGGGGGGAAGGGAGTTGGCACATAAAGAGGCACTCCTTTCACACCCTAATAGTTGAACAGTTAGCCGCTTTTGTCTCGTTTCGTCTAATTTGTTGTTTTATCCCTTTTTAACAACGTCGATTCTTTAGTAGTTAATTCGAGTCGTTCTTTTGATTGAGGGTGGCACCCTAATTAACGAGGCAAATTTCACTCATTAGTCATAACAGATGCTGTGATGTCTCTGTTTGTTCTTTCCTCCTTTGTCTTTGGCGACTGATTGTTGAAGGAAATCCGACTTTGTTGATTCGGCTCAAAAGTGGTACGTCCCTCGTCGTTCGCCAGTTTTCGTGCCAGGTGATGCCATCATATTCCCACCAACGACTTTCACCAAAGTCCGTAAATGCTAACTGTGAGATGAAAATAGCTACTGTCATCGCCAATATCTTCCAAGGGTATGTCCTTTACTGCAACGACGGAGTTGGCATGGCGTCTCCTGCCCAGATGGCTGGCTGGCTGGCTGGCACGGAGAGCTGTGCCTCAGATGGTTAGAGAGAGAGCAAGAAGGAGCGAGTGGGAGGAGTTTGATATTATGCCACCTCCACCCCCTCAACCATTGCTAGAACAACAAAACAATCCACATTTTCTGTTGTTTTAGTTTTAGAATTTCCTTCTTATTTCTTTATTCCATGTGAAGTTGCCATGGAGATTTTTCCTGCTCTTGTTCATGTGCCAGCCATCACTTCGGTGAACTTTCTGTACCTGGTCCCCTGTGCTGGTCAGTTTTTACAATGTTGGTAATCCACTCTTGCACTTCCATCATGGTGCCATGCAGCAACAGCGTATCCATCTAAAGGGTAGCTCAAAAACTTCACTCAGGTGTGGGTCACATTTTGAGGTCTTCATCAGCAGATGTTTACTTGTTCTCCAGGCGGCATCAAAGGATGAATGTGTAGGACCCATCTTCCTTCAAACGTCTAATATTTATAAGACTGCCCTCATCCACTAAAAACTGGAAAAATCTACATTAGAGAAAACTCAAAGCACATGATTCTACCAAAATGATGACAGGACCCCTCTGTCTCCCAGACTTGATCTAACCAGCTACACTACAGAGCGCAGAGAAGTCCGCCTTGGTGCTACCACTGAGTGGATGGCACTGTGCCAACTTGTCTCTGCCATCAACCGCATTCGCTCCTTGTTTCCCTTATTTGCCCATCCCCTTTCTCACTCAGTCCCTCTCTTACCCACCCTCCTCCTCTCTCTAGCTTTCCTTCCACATGCCCAGCACAGCCGCCTTCCATCTCCCTTTTTCTTCTTTTACAGGCTTGACATTAATTAACATTCGGGTTAATTAATTCTAAAAGCTGGTGATTTACTCGAACAATGCTCGTAAGCCGGCTGACGAGGTGTTTTTCGCCCTAGCTTGTAACCGCAGTGCCTGGCATTAGCTGTGTCTCTGCATTTTCCTCCTCTTCACTGGTCCTGGATATAGAAAGAGAACTCCTCTACCCACAATCAGCTGTACTGTTGTGCAACACAACCAGGGTGAGCTTTGCCTTTATGTGCCACTACATAGGAAACAATCACAAGCCTCATATACGACTGTAACAGATTGAAGTTGACGTTTTGCTGGCTGATGCCATCACACAATTTTGTCCAGACATTAAAAAATAATCAGAGTCCTTTTTTCTATACTTCCCCATATTACTCTGCATACCTACCATCAAGCACTCCCCTCTTGTTCCTCCTTCATTGTCTCTGTGATTGTATTTAATTGTACCGCAATTACTTATCTTGTTCTTTCAAGCCGCATTTGTGGCCATCTGTTTCGCTGTTGGTGTTGTGGGACAGGGATGAGTAGCGTAACGAGCGGGTTGTAAACAAATGACTGTCCGTTCGGACATTTTCGATAAAGCTTGTGTGGGGTAATTATATATTCTCTCTCATCTGATGCGGTGTCATCAGAAGCCCAGCTTGACTACAAATATATTGGTCACATCTGCTTTTCTCTTTCTTTTATATTAATACTTGTCATTTGGTACGCCGCCGAAGAGGTTAAAAAGAGTGGGACTGAAATAGTTTAATTATTTAATGAAATCCCCCCTCCCGCTTAAGAGGGTGGCACGTGGCTGTTAATTAGCAGCGCCGCAGCTTGCTTTAATGGATGAGGTAGAATAGACTAAGAGACAGATTTAACAATATCATCTATAAACCATGTGACATACTTCACATGATTGCTATATCAAGTCTTGATATTGGCTTTTTTTTATGCCTCTATATGTAGAATGTTATGTGCATAGTTTATTTGTATAATTAAATATTATCCGAATACAGAGATAGTCCTCTTCAAAGTCTATTTTAGTCAAGGAGTTCAGGGAAGTGATTGCAAAGGTCTTCACAGTGCTTAAATGTGCTATTCTTTTTTGATTCTCATTCTATTGTTTTTTTTTCATTATGAAGTAAAAGCAGAGACTGGGCAATTGAGGCAACAAGAGGAATCCATTATGCAAATTGAGCAGTATTTGCATAATGTCTTCTGCCAGTAATATGCAAATGAACAGTATAATTTATTAGCGCCTGCGTCTGTCTCATAGTGTTCCCATAACTTACAAAGACTTTTTTTTCCTTCTCTCTCCTCCTATCCAAGCTGGCACGACATGAACCGTAAGCACACCCACAAAAAAGGGTTGCTGGCTGGGTACTATGACTGGGTGGGAAAACTTGTCTGGCAGACTGATGAGGGATAAGGAGGCAGGCAAGGGGCGGGGACGCGTGGTATGGAAGAAATGTGTAGGGGGGCACATAAATCCCTCTACAAAGGCTCAGTAGCAGATGCTAATTCTCTAAAACAACTGCGAAACTAAATAAAATGAGAGACAAAAAAACAAAGGAGGGAGATTTCAGCTGGGCGGAGCGTTAGCGATTTCTGACTTTTCTTTTTGTTTAGTTGCATGAGCGTTGGCACTGCGCACATTATCTGTCTTTGATGCCCGCTTTTTATTTCTTCTGTCATCGGAGCTGGCTGCTTTTTCCTCTCGTGGAGGCTTTCTTCATGACTCAGTTGGATGAAGGTTGGGAAGGAGAGAAAAGAGAAACAGAAGGAGAGAGGCTGCATGTCAAGGCAAGAGTGTGTGGGCTCCAGTCGATCTCCAACAGTACCCTGGGATGCCACCACTGAGACTAACCAAGCCCATAACAGAGCATCCGGGCTGTATCCAGGGAGACCAGGACCAGACACATTTTGATGGGTGATATAAATTGTACCACAGTTTTCCCGGCTTCTCACTCTCCAGCAGGATTTTGTTTGCAGCAATTATTGTGTTATAACTCGTTAGCGATGAGCAGCCTGCTTTGCATAGTTGATGCAAAGCCAGAAGCTCAAGAGGCGATTCTATATTGTTCTGGAAAAAAAGCCACAGAGGACTGCCTGGAGAAAAGACTCTCACAACTGCATACCAATTCATTGGGGACTTGACTGCTGACAAGAAAGTGTTGTTTTTTATTTTTTCATTCAGGGCCTGTTCTCAAAGGTATTCCTGACTTCATTTAAAAAAAATGTCATCAACTGCCACTTTGCTGGAAGTCAGGATGCACTATTTTAACATTTCACATACTCGACTCTGCTGAGCTTGTGACAGTACAAATATGTTTGTGCCAAGACCATCCCATTGCACATCAAGAGTGTGCCCACCTCCCCCTGAGGCTGAAGGGGCATTTGTTTTGCTCCTTGTTGGACAGTGATGTTATAGCATCAGGCATGTGGTTATGTGTGCATTCATATGGGGGACTGCTTACTGAGAAGCAGAAAGAGACAATGGAGATTGCATAATGTGTCTCAAATTATTTCTCCTAGACATGCACACAGACACACACATTCTTAACCAAAAGGAGTTTGGTGTCACCTTCTCTGTTTCTATGTCAGGACTTTGGATTTGATCAATCTGGGAAGACCAAACCCTGGAAATACTGAGCTCACTCAGCTGTTCTCTGTTTTCACCTTCCAGTGTTTTTTTTTCTACAAACCTTGACTACAGTATGTGCGTATGTGTTCATTCACTCATTCCAATATAGACATTTCTCAATTTGAATGTCAAGATACATTCTTTCCAAAGCTGTTTTATATCATCAGGGTTCCCGTTTGCACTGTTTTATTCCTCGTGTTCATCATGTATAACGATCAAATTGCCTAGATTCATTTTCCATATGCATTGCATTCATGCCTGCAATTATTCTCTTGAATTAGCATTCAACTGGCAGCTCTTTATACCGCACAGACCTTTCATTATGTCTAATGAATGGTTCATTTGAATGTGGAATGTTTGTACTTGAATGTTGTATCTGAATATGCACTGCAAAGTTCACATTTAAGTGGGTAGTTTCAGAAATAGTTTCTTCTTCTATGGCATGTTACACTTTATATCCTGTGATCATTTTTTGTAAACATTACAATCAGTTCCACAGATGTTAGTAACCATCCATTCTGTGCTTTTAAAATTGGCATGCAGCCCACATAAATACAACTAATATAAATCATTGTAAAAAAGCATTAAGTGAACAATATAAAGTTTAGAATGAAGCTTATACATATTAGGGGTGAAACAAGTGTTAAGGATTCTGACACTTACATTGAGCAAGCAGCATTAAGAAAGTACTACAAACTACTTTAAAAGTAGAAATGAATAAGTAAGCTTATAAGTTAATGCTCATTATTTTCTCAGCATTCTCATATTTATATTTAATGGAAGCAGAGATTTACTTTGAACTTGGACTTCCTCTTATAGTGGTAGAAGATCCTTAGTAAGCCTCCTTGTTAATTCATCATAGATTTGTGTATGTGTTGGTTTTTATATGGGTTTTGTTGATGTATATGTGTGTTCGCAGTTTGTATAACGTTTTCAAATCTTTACGCTTGTTCTGTTATGTCATGTATTCTTGATCTGAGAATTAATAACAAACTGTTGGCAATGAGTAGAGTTGCCTCAAACAGAAAGTTTCCAAAGAAGTCGATCTAATCAATTCAAACATTTTTAACATCAGTAATTATCTTTTTAGTTTGTCTTGGCCCTAATGATCAATGATAAAGTGAAAACATTTATATGTAAACATGGAAAATATGTCACTTTAAAGTCAAACAGGTTTTGTTTTTTATTCAAATGTCAGAAAAGTTACAGCAATAACATTGTCAAAACATATCAAAATTGATCTATGAAATTCCCTCTTTAACTGAAATGTAACTGTGTTCAATAGGAACATCCAAATCGATCGCAGGCCCCTGAATCGAATCAAATCGAAATGGTATTGTGAAAGACTTTGTGATATTGGCAAAATATCGTATCGTTTATTTATACCCCATTCCCTTTTGTCAGTTATAGAAATACATTTAAGAAATAAATACAAAGCATTGGAATCAACAATCTGCTCTTAGATCAAATGAAAATATTAAGAAACCCAGAACTTATAAGAAAAACTTAAAGTGGCTATAGAAACCAATACAATGATACAGATATGTTTTCACATTGTTTAACCTGTACAGATATTATACCAAGTGCCACAGAGTTGCTAACTGTATCAGTGAGCAACTGTGGTGTTTCCCGGATTTGGATGAATAAAGCATTGCTGATACTGATTCTGCAGGAAAGGTATCATGATACTATAACTAACTGGGACAAGTTAATGCCAGTATACTTTAGAATGAAATGGTATTCAAAGTAACAAGTATGGATGTGGAAGTAGAGTACCTATGACCAACATGCTCTGTTTCATGCAATGTTTATGGTTCAATTTATTTATCACTAAGTCAGAGAGTAATTGTGGTGGAATTTCTGTACAATAGAAATTACACCCATGTAATCACCAATCTGTTCATTTCTACTTATTCAAGCCCTTTCCAAAATGAACTGGGGATACCTGGGGATCCTTTGGTTCTGTTGGGCCAAGCCAAAGAAGAACATATTGACTGTACAATAAAGCTTTCATGTGACTGAATGTTGTTTATATTTTAAGTCTTTACTCATTTTATGTATACGTATGTCTCCAATAGAACCTGTGATACTCCCTTCTTTTTTTATCGCTATCTTGAGACTTTTTGAGTTTGTGAGTAAAAGCTAGCATGAAACTTGAACAGGGCTTGATTGAGAGGAACATTTCTCAACATCAAATGGCTACAAAGATCTTGTAGTCACTCACCTGACCTGAGTGTGAAGTGCAGTTTTTGAAGTGCAGGCATTTTACCACTTCATTTGCAAAAATCAAAGTTTCCCAAAGTGGAGAGTTGCAAGGGTAAACCAAAAGCGTTGGGGGTTGAAGCATGTAGCTAATACAATAGAAGAAGAATATATCTTGAATTATTATCAACACATCTTGTATTTTAAATTATCTTTGGCATCACTATGTTCAATGACTCCATTCTTGTGGTGTTAGTGTTGTCACCGCTGAGACGACATCATTATAAACCTGAATATATATGAGTAATGACAATTTTGAGCATTGTAGCAGCAGAAAATTGGATCAAATTTGACAAATGTGAACCAGGAAAGTGGATCTGT